TACATTTATTATAAGTACTCGTATTTAAATAAATCTCTGATTTATTTGTAATACATACACTATGTGACTAGTCTACTCTAGAGCAGTGATTCTCATCCTTTTTTAGTTTATGTCACCTTTAACCACTAAAATCAAACACCACGTCGCCCTAACATCAAAATAATAGACAATTTTAACTATATCATTTTAGAATTATTCTTAAAACAACAAAAAAATACAGTATGCAGAAAAATAATAAGTATACCTAAAATATATTTGAGTGGCAGGGTTCGATAAATATTGACACTTTAAAGTTTAAATTTTTAAATAAAAATAAAAAAATAGAGAAACAAATTAATACTGATTAATAGTGATTTGTATAAAAACCAATGAGAAATTTGATCCTGGTAGTTTTTACAAAGTTGAAAAAATCGAAAGTTAATGGTGGAAAAATCTAGTCACATATTGTCTTCTAGAGTTGTAGAGCTATAATACAATATAATGAATGCAGAATAACTGACTAACAATCCCGTTTAAGTTGGTAAAATTAGTCGATAATGCAGCGATTAAGCAAATCAAAATACTGCACGTGTTTATCGGATTTAACGAGTAAATATAAATAATATTGAGATACAAATTTATAGGTATACTATATACATGAAAATTTTGATTATAATCTATAAATTTATTAAAATTAATTATTTTCTTATTTTTTTTCCTTCTCCCATGGAAATTTCGTGTCATCCCAACACTGGGTCCATGTTACCTTTGGATGACATGTCACCCCAGTTGAGAACTACTGCTTTAGATAAACACGTTCCCCTGTTGGCATTATTTATTTTCTAACAACATGTTTTAAATAAAATGGGTACTAAACATATACAATTATTTTCAAAAAGATTAATAAAGGATATTTTGTTTTAATAATATAATTTAAATAATATTTAAAATACAGCCATTAATATTACACCTATGTAATTTTATATTTTCCTGTAGTAGATTACAAAATTTTTATAATGTTTGATTTTAATTATAACCTAATCCTGATTCATAAGTTTTACAATAGTTTATAACATATTCATAAAATTAAGCTTAAAAAATATATAATATTATAAATTAGTTGAAATATGTTATACTAATTTGTAACCATATTAATGTTGTAAAACTAAACTGTACACACTTTCATATGTATAATTATAAAATGTACGTGAAGAATAAAAACACATTTGATGACAATTAGTGGTGTTAAACTTTTTATGTCTGTGCATATATATAAACATAAATTATTTTACATATACATACATCCCTGTCAACTATCTTTTGTTATTTTTAATTCTCCACGTTATATTTAATAATATTTATTATATTCTATATATATATAAAAAAAAAAAATGTTTGACGTGTTTGTTTCCATGGTGTGTTCTCTCGCGTAACATGTAACGTTTCTTGTTTATAATACGCGCATACAGCTTTTGATACAGTGAATTCTACAATTTTTGTGCACACGATACGAGTATAATATATAATAGACAAAAAAAAAACAAAAAACAAACACATTTTTTTTTCAATTGTGACATTATTTTTATAGAATTTTAATTTTTTATATAAAAAAAAAAAATAATACCGAACTTAAAATTGAAATAAAATAATTTTAAAATAGACATGCAAATTATAATACTATTACATATTCGTAATTTTAAAATGTTTAATTTTGTATAATATATTAATAATTCTTTTAGAGTTTTATTTTAATTTTTACGATGATGATTTAATTCACACATAATATTATTATTAAAACAACATTCATCTTTTAATGATTAAATAACACTCCCAATAATTAATCCCATTTCATAATCTATAATTCGAATAAATTAGCATATTATTGTTTGATTTAAATTTAAGCACTTAATTTCATTAAATTTTACTTTATACATGCAGAAAGTGTGTTTATAAACTACTTATTGTAAACTACTAAGTATGAAATATAACTAAAATTAATTTTTATTTCATAAATTTTTCGAGCAATTTCGATGTTTTTAAAAATATAACAATTTTCATGTTTAAGGACTTTTTTTTTACATTTTTATTATAAATAGCAATAACGTAGTTAGTTCAAGTTCGTTAATATAGATAATACCATATATCCAAACACTTAAAATATATATATTTATATACAGTGGCGTACATTCTATCATACTCTGGGGGGGGGGGGGGGGGG